AGTCAAGGTTGTCCCCGCTGACTTTCGAGCTTCTTCACAGAAAAGGAAACGAACAGCGAAGTAAAGAGGTAGGCTGCAGCAAGGGAAGTGATCTGCCAGCTGACAGCAGACAGGACACAAATACCCAGCTGTAGAAAGAGCTGCAAGAATCGATCCTCAGAAAACCAAACCAACCAACAAATGGCTTAGTGAGTTGAATCAACAACCCTCAAAATGTTGTCTATTCAAAGGAAATACACTGGCCAAGAAATAGTCGGAAAAAAAATATTTAATATCCTTATCCATTAGGAAATTCAAACAACCCTGAGATTCCATCCCACCCTAGTCGGAATGGTTGTCACCAAGAAAACCAATGCTGGAGAGGATGTAGGAAAAGAGGAACTCTTCTTTGTATGTTGTTTGCTTTTTGAGACAGGGTCTCTCTATGTGGTCCTGAGAGTCCTGGAACTCAGAGAGATCACCTGCCTCTGCCTTTGTAGTGGTGCGGTGACTATAGGGGTTCATTTTTTAAAATCCTGAAAAACAAAACTACTATATGACCCATTTATACCACCCCTCAGGTATAGAACTGAAGGGCTCTGAGTCAATAGACCGCAGGGACACTTGTGCATTGTGTCTGTAACTGCATATTCATAGCGACCAGGGAATGGATCTGACCTAGCTGTCCATCATTTGGTGAACAGATAAAGACAATGTGGTCGATATACACAGTGGAATCTATGTTGGATAAAGAAAATGAAACTGAACATTTACAGGAACATGGGTAGAAACCAAAACCCTGCTAAGAGAAATAAGGTAGACCCAGAGAGACAAAACCCACGTTTTTTTTTTATCATATGTGGAACTTATATTTAAAATTGTGTGTATGTGTGTGTGTGTTTGTGTGTGTGTGTTAGTTTGGTTTCTATTCCTGTGGTGAAGCACCACGACCAAAAGCAACCTGAGGAGGAAAGGGTTTATGTGGCTAACGCACCCATATCGTAGCCATCACTGGAAGAAGGCACAAACCTGGAGGCAGGAACTGGAACAGACCCCATGGAGGAATGCTGCTTACTGATCACTCTCAAGGACTTGTTCAGTTTGCTTTCTTATAGCAGCCAGGACCAGGGGTGGTAGCACCCCCAGGGGGCGGGGCTACTCCACATCCATCTATCAAGAAAATACCTCAGGCCAGCAGTGGTGGTGCGCACCTTTAATTCCAGCACTCGGGAGGCAGAGGCAGGTGGATGTCTGGGAGTTCAAGACCAGCCTGGTCTACAGAGTGAGTTCCAGAACAGTCAGAGCTACACAGAGAAACCCTGTCTCAAAAACCAAACTTACTTACTTACTTAAATTTTAAAAAAGAAATGCCTCACAGACCTGCCCTGGGGAATCTGATAAAGACATTTTCTCACCTGAGACTACTCTTCCTGGAGAACTTTGCCAGCCTGTGTCAAGCTGACAAAGCACTAACCAGAACAGTATGTAAATACACACGTGTGTTCTTAACGGTGTGCGGATAGGTCAGGAAAGTAGAAAGACGATCGTGCGAGGGTGGGAAGAGAGCCTGCGGAGGTGGGAAACAGAAGCAATAGCGTATCTATGATGAGAGCAGAAGGGGAGGCTTACTGTGTGAGGGGAGAGAACCAGGCTGGGGGTTCAGGTGCAGGCAATGGGGCGGGGTGGGGGAATAAATGAGAACAAGGTATAACAACCCACATATGTGAGGATGTGATGATATACTTTCCATACCAACAAGGCTGGCCTTTGACAGATAGATCCATTTCAATGTCTTGCCCCTTATGCTTCTCCACATCCTGTAGGTGGTTCTGTATTTCCTTGGGAGAGGGGAAGTCACAAAGTGTACCAAGTCAACTGAGAGAGATTTTCAAGAAGGCTGACATGGGCCAGCACCCTGAGACGTGGGGCTTCTTGGGTCAGCATCAGCACCACCTGGAACATCTCTAAAATGTCACTTCTTGGACCCAGCGTCCTTCCTACATCAGACACTGTGCAAGCACATCCTAGAAACCTGTGGTCTAACCTCACGTGACTCTTCAGGTCAGGTCTGGTAACTGCCAGTCTAGGGTAAGGACATCTGCTTGTGTTCAAGCTCTCCATCCACACTCCGTGTGGCGTCATTGATGGCTTGTGACTGCCCTGAGTCCGGCTCAGCACAGCACAGAGTGGGACAATCATTCCCACTACAGTCCACAGGGAGGCAGCAGAGAGTCAGGTGAAAGCCCACAGGGAGCAAGACTAACCTGCCTGGATTCAAGCACCCTGTTCATAACTTGGTCCATTTCTGAAATGGTGCTCAAAACCCGACCCCTGTACAGGGATTTGATGATTCTCCTTGGGATCCAGGGGCCCATCCCAAGATATCAAAATTATGGAATGAGCAAACCTAGAGGGCAACTTGATCTGGCAAAGAGGGCTTGGTGAGGCTCCGACCTCATGAAGCTGTTGTCCTATCCATTACAACGAAAACATTCCGGTAGGGACTGGGGAGCTGGCTCAGTAAATAAAATGTTGACCACACAGCCATGAGGACCTGACTCAATCCCCACCACTCACATAAGAAAACTGAATGAATGAATGAATGAATGAATGGCCATGGGCACATGTTTACAGTCTCAGCACTGGGGAGGCAGAGACAAGAGGAATCCCTGGGACTAGCTGGCCGGACAGTGTGGACAAATAGGCAAGCTCCAGGTTCAATGAGACCCTGTCTCAAAAACATAAGGTGGAGTGTTAACAAGGAAGACAGGCAGTATCGACCTCTGGCCCCCGCACACACGTACACAGGCATACAAATGAGCACGTCGCTATAAGGAAGCAACAGATTTTTGGACCTGCACCAGCCTAGGTCTGCACTGCATCTATGCTGCGTATGGTCCCACTGCATCTATGCCACAGCGTCTGCCAGGAAGTACTCAAGGCAGCACTTTTCCCTGTGCAGAGAAGTACCAGCTCCTGCCTCTGGTGCTGCTCGGGAGGCAGCATCAGAGCTCTCACCAGCGCCTGATCCTCAGGACACGGGCGACACACTGTCACTCCAAGTGAGTCCTGTGCTCGTCACTCAAACCAGGATCAGGGAAAACGAAAGAAAAAGGTTTAACTAAGGTGGGTAGATTTTAATGGAGTGTAATGTTTTAATTTAGCAAACATCTACATTGTTAATTTCTTGATCTTTTTATACTGGGCCAAGGCCTCTCCTTTGAGATTGTGTCCACTAATTAAAGTTTCCTGTCATTTATTTTTCTTGCAAAAATGTCACCCCAAATCTCTGACCTTGGGCTTTGCTTAAAATGTACTTTTCCCAGTCACTTGTGAAACTAAAGGGTCAAAGAGACATGGAGAGGTGAGGGATGAGGCACACACAGAGCTGCCAGCAAAGGTCAAAGGTTAAATGAGGGCGACAAAGGCTCTATTTGAGCCAACCTTTACCCAAGCCCTCAGCTGTCTTCTCCCCCAGGCCTCCCATTGGCCTACATGGAGCTGAGCAAACAGTAGCAGTTCCTGGCCACTCAAAGCCACAGCCTTGGGATGACCTTCCTCCCACGGAGTGCCTGCTTGAGCAAACTCAAGGCTGGGGAAAGAATCTGCTGTTTGTTCCGACACCTGAAACAGGGGTCCCATCTCCCCCACCCGTCTGGCATTAGTTAGTAAATCCAGATGGACTTCAGTAAACCAAGCCCCGCCCAGCCCATCCATACTATGGGAATAAAAAGGAGAGACAGGGAAAATGGAAGGGGGTGGTATCCAAACACAGTTAAAGGAGAATTCTTCGGGCATGAAATAAAAAGAAAAAAGAAATGGAAGACATGAGGAAGAGGAGAAAAATGAGTTAACCCAGGATGGAGGGGGTGGGAGCAGGGATCTGGATGGTAGGAAGTCCAGAAAGAAAAAAAAAAAAAAAACAAGAATCATTCAATGAAACAACAAGAGGTCCCATCACTGAAATTCTCATACTCCCAGTGACTGTCTGGACCTGTGTTGGGAGTGGGATGTATAGAAACACAAATAATTATATCACTATGTATATAAAAAAAACACAAGAATTTTTTTAAAATATCCTAAAATCTTCCAGAGAAGAAAATACAAATCCAAACAGAGGAGTAAACTGTAAGAACAAAGCTCAAGCCTCACACAGGGTACAGGACAGCAAGTCAGGGACTCTGGGAGGGAGAGTCTGCATAAGAAAAAGAAAGAAAACATGTACAATGATTCTTGATACACATCTAAGTATTTGGAAAGCAGGTATGGTAGATTTTCAACCAAGTGTAAGGTGTTTGCTACTGATCTCCAGCACTAAAAATCGTCAGACACACACAGTAACTTTGAATTTTGGATCTGATGGAGCATTCTGAAATAAAGAGTTGGTTGTGGAGAAAATGGACCAGAGAAAAGCAATGCACTCAAGAACTTCAGGAAAGGCACAAAGATTTTTGAAAAGGGAATCTAATTACAGTGTACCCTATATACTGTTTTGTTTTGTTTTCATACTTTCAGAGAAAGACTCCTAGTAATGGGGGACTTGTTTAACTCTGACACCGTGATTCTGTGCCTCTCTAAAACAAGGGATGGTTCTAATAACACGCTGAATGGCCAATAGCAAGGCAGGAGCAAGGATAGGCGGGGCTGGCGGGGCTATTAATAGAAGGAGAAAGGCGGAGAAGCTGCAATGAGAGAACAAGGGAAGGAGGACATCAGGGGCCAGCCACCTGGCAAACCAAAAAGTAAGAGTGAAAGTAAGATACACAGAAGTAAGAAAAGGAAAAAGCCCAGAGGCAAAAAGTAGTCAGGATAATTTAATTTAGAAAAGCTGGAAAGAAGCCAAGCTAAGGTCAGGCACTAATAACTAGGAATAAGGCTGTGTGTGATTTATTTGGGAGCTGGATGGTGGGCCCCCCAAAAAGCCAGAAGAGTAAAACATTGCACTGATGTGGGAGTGTCATATATCAATCTGTTAATTTCATTGGTTAAGTTATAATAAACCAGCTGCTTGGCCTCATGGCTTGGAACATAGATGGGAGGAGTAAACAGAATAGAATTCTGGACGGAAGAGGAAGTGAGGTCAGACTCTGCTCTGCTCCCAGAGAGACCCGACAGCTCTGCTGGAGCAGAGACACCATGCTCAGCTCTCCCAGGCAGATGCACGCAATGAAGCTCCTCCAATCCCGGATGGATGTAGGCTAGAATCTTCCCGGTAAGCGCACCTTGGGGTACTTACAAACATCATTAGAAATGGGCTAGTCCAGGTGCGAGAATTAGCCTGTAAGGGCTAGGGTTCATGGGCCAAGCAGTTCTTAAATGAATACAGTTTGTGTGTTGTTATTTCGGGCATGAGCTAGCCAAGCGGCCGGGGTGTTGGGGACGCAGCCCCGCCGCTCCTTATTTCAACATTGCACAAGCGTGGAAATGTAATTTGGCAGGTGCCCGGGGGGGGGGGGGGGGGGGGGGGGGGGGGGGGTGCGACACAGACTTGAGAAAAACACAGGCATCAAGTCAACATGGCCAAGGATAATGGACAGAAATCGCCAAGAATCCAGATCTTGGTTCCTTTAAGTTGATGTCAGGGGTTTTGTCAGAACATTGATTACGAAGTAGTGTGGCATCCTTAGCAGGCCTGCTGATGAGACTGCACTCATGTCTCCTTTCGTGGGCTTCTTCCACATGGAGAGACCCTGTCTCACATACGACAACGCAGACACTGTTCCCTAAAACCATCTCAGAGTAGCTCATCTCCACCTTTTACTGCCCACTGCAGTCTTATCGAGGAACACTCCAGTAATGTTGGTACCTGGGCAGGACCCATGAATTTGAGAGTCGCTCCTACAGTGCTCTAGTAGGCCAAGCAGAGAGGAATTATCCTGCGGGCCGTGTTGCAGGGGAGCAGAGAGGGAAAGGACTGTGCGGGCTGCGGGGAAGTGTTACAGCGAACCCCCAGGCTAGTCACATACATCAAACTGATTCTGTAACATCCAGGCTACCACATCAGGGGCATGCAGCTCCCCTGCCCCAGCACTTCAAAAGTACACATACCTTATATGCTTCAGTCTCTAGAAATATGTTTCAGGTGCCCTGGGCTTCAGCATCAGCACCTGCCAGGTCATCTTTCTTACTGGTCCACGGTGAGAAGTCAGTGTTCAAACCATGTAATGGAAAAGGTCAATATTCCATTCCAAAAGACCCCTTAGCTGTGTTCATGCTCAGAGCAGGCCTCCGAGACAAGCAGTGGTTTGGATGTGTGGGTGTTTCTGTGTTTTCCAATTCAGTTCTCTTCTGCCGGCCCCTTTACTACTTCAGATTCTGCTTTTCAGCTCACCAGGCATCTCTACACCCATCCTGAGGTTCTTGTCATCTAGATGTGAAGGGAATACACATGGCCTTCCAAGCACTAGGCCGCAAGAATCCTGTGCAGCCCCCACCCCCACCCTACCCTGTATCAGCCAGCCATGCTGTTCTGGCTTCTTTTATGTCAACCTGACAGAAGCTCAAGTTATCTGAGAGAAAAGAAACCGCAATTAAGAAAATAAAATAAACCTTTCCCTCAAGTTGATTTCTTGGGTCATGGTGTCTTCTCACAGCAATAGTATCCCTACCTCGGACATGGCTTAGCCAACGTACTCTTACTGCATAGACTTCTTCTTTAAGACTTTAAGTTAGTAAAAACCGCCCTCATGAGAAAGAAATCCAGTTACAATAGAGATGATGTTTTGCTTTAACTTCTGGGTACTTTCCATTCAGATACTAAACAGCTGTGGTGTCTTGACACTTGGGTCACCTAACTGGTTGTGCCTAAGAATGAATAATTTTTAGAAAGGCAACGTTCATAGCCCTGGAGACGGACTAGCTAAGGATGTAAAGAGAAACTGAATTTCAACTGGCTGTTAGCTACTTTGCAGTGATTTGGAAAACATTTGACACTATTAGACAGTGAAGTGCTTTCCTTTGTCCTGTCAACCAGTCCTGCTTCTGCCTAGGACCACTAGGTTTTCATTTCTGAGAATCTGCAGTTAATCCTTCCCTCCTGGGGACTCCTCTACATATACTGGAGTCGTTTCTGGACAGGCAATGCAGGGCTCAAACTGTAACCTTTTCCCTCCTTCTTCATAGCCCAATAGGTGACTGCGGCGGTTCAGTTTTGTGCTGCCTTTTCCCCTAGAAATGCCTCCTGATTCTCCAGACAAGCAGCTGTGCCAGGCAGGGATCTGCAGTACTGCTGGCTGGATCTGAAGCACCTGGCTGTGGCGCTGCTTAGAAATAAACCAGGTCTAAAAATAGCCGATGCTGTGTAGATAGCAGAGACCAGGAATCTCACTATGGAATATTTACACACAATAACCTCAGAGGTTGGAATTGGGATGACTCTGTTGTCTCCATCTTCCCGTGACATTTCTGAGTCTCAGGCCAACTTGACTTCCCAGCTTAGTCACTTAAGGGTCTCATCTGCCAGCTACAATCAATCAGGGGAGTGCACGCCAGCACTGCCAAGGGCCTGCTGCATGCAGAAGGGACATTTGTGGAGAAAGCTGGAAGACTCAGGCAGTTTTAGCATGTGCCTTTAGAGATGGGCCTCCTTTCCACAAGCTGCCTGGTCTATCGGTTCACAGGAACTCCAGCACGAAGCAGTCTCTTACCTTAGCAACCTCAGCATTTTCCCACCCACAAATGGAAACCCTAGCCTCCCACAGAAATTAGCCAGCCCCTGGAGGCTCATTCGGCCCATTTCTCCCACTGCCCTGGTGAATCCCGAGGTGACTGAAGGATAGACGAATGAGTAACCCTCTATCCTTTACAAGATGATTTCAAGTGACCAGGCTTTTTTTTTTTTTAAATCTGCACTATCACATGCAAAAACCAACATTATCATTCTTTTTGAGGGAAAAAGCAGCAGCAGACATCTGCCCTGCACTCTAGAGTCACACTAGCCTAGAAGACCTAGGTCAAACAGAATCTTAAACCCAGCAGCCAGAGCACAGGCCGGAACAGAGCAGTCTCCAGCATATTCTCAACTACATTGCCCTCTACCTCAACGAGACAAAGTCTAGTGGAGAGAGACTCATCTAAACTTCATATACTAGATGAATGGTAGGAAATACATAATGGTAGATTGGTAGGGTTTTGTTTTCATTTTCTAAGGCCAACACGAAGTCCAGCAACATGGGATGGCTACCTCCAGTTAATACCTGTTTTCTGAGGACGACCTGCTATTTTCACCAGAGAACAGAGATGTGCTGAGATGTTTGGGACCACTCCATGTGTGTGCCGTATGTATTTATGTGTAAGACCTGAACAGAGGCCAGAGCATCAAACGCGAGCAGCACTGCTAAAAGGCAGTTTTGAATCTGCCACGACAGGAGCACACTTCAGCTTCTCTAGGCCAGTATTCTTCCCCCAAGGCTCAAACTGAACAGTCCATCTCCATAAAGACACAACTCTCAACACCACCATCTGGAGTCACCCTGGGTCCCTGGCTCTGACAATTAAGGTGGAAAAAATCTAGTGTGATACTTTGGAGGGTATCTCTGGATGCAATTGTGACACCCAGCTAACTTAAATCTGACCTTGAGAAAACTAACAGTTCCCAGCTAGTCTCCTCTCTAAAACAGGCATTCTGGCTCAAGCTGGTTAGGAAAGTCACTTTCCAGTTTATAAGTGGCAATGCATATGACCTACCCTGCCACTTTCCCCATTGTCCTGGAACATGCCAGGCATCAAGCACACTAGGGAAGCACTCTGCTACTCAACAGTATCTCCACTCTTCTCCATACAGCCTGCCTCTCTCCTTGTCCCTTTGGCCCACATTTATACGCTATCTTAATGTACTGAGAAACCTCAACTAGGGTTTAAAGAGGCAGACAGATAATTTATCATCTAAACAGCTAAAAGTGTGTATCTGGAGGCAAGAGTCTTCAGGGAGAAACTATGGTTAACAAGGCCCTATGGATGGAGCTTTTGAATGTTCTCTCTCTTGGTGTAAGAGTACAGTGAAACTGGCTATCTGAAAGCCTGAGAAAGACCCTCACCAGAATCCAACTGTGCTGGCTCCTTGATCTTGAGAACCATTCTCCAACACTGATACTTAGTCTATGGGACTCTGTCAACAGCAGCAGTACTTGGTAGAGTCATCTCCAGAAGATGACTGCACCATAGTTGAGCACTGGGTCTGGAATATTACAGAACCAAGCCCTGGTCACTAAAAGATAAGTCTTAATACTGGGAGGCCAGACATAGTAGCACATGCCAGTAATCTTAAAATGGAACAAGCACCAGGAGCTTAAGGCCATCCTCAACATGAGACTAGTCTAGGCTACATGAGACCCCCAAACAAAAGCTAAATAAATAAATATGAATATCCCTTCTGATAAGTGACTACACATATTTTCCCTTACCCTTTCTCTGAAGCTCTTCCCAAGGATTGATGAGGGATGTCCTTCTGTATGCTGTGAATGTGTTGCTTTTATTGGTTGATGAATAAAGCTGTTTTGGCCAATAGTTTATCAGAGTAAAGCTAGGTGGGAAATTCAAACAAAGATACAGAGAGAAAGTAGGTGGAAGTCAAGAAGACACCATGTAGCCACCCAAAAAGAAAGATGCCAGAACATTAATTACTGGGAAGCCACAACCTCATGGCCATACATAAATTAATACAAATGGGTTAATTTAAGATGCAAGAGCTAGCTAGAAATATGCCTGAGCCATTGGCGTATCTAAGAGTGTTATAACTAATATAGTTTCTTTTATTTGGGTCTGGGCAGCCAGGAAACAAAAGCTCAGTCTCCATTTACAAAGGATTACACCGTTTGTGCCTTTGGAACCTCTAAGTCACCAGCACACTCACAATTCATGAATTGGCACTGCTCTCTCAGGAAAACAAATACCAAGAGTAGAACGTCTATCTCTCAATGCCAATTGTCCAACTGTCCCCAAACCTCCAATTATTTCCCAAAACATTATTATGCCATTGAGAATTTGTGACAGAGGAAATCAGTTTAAGAGGCCACTGTAACAATAATCTGGTCACAGCCTTCGTGTGTGTGTGTGTGTGTGTGTGTGTGTGTGTGTATAGGGGGTAAGCTAGACAGTTTGGAACGTAAGCAAATCCTTGGAGCCCAAATCTGTCCAGCACTGGCAAGAAGCATGTCTGGAGAAAGAACAATGACCAGTGTGTACCGAGCAATGGCATAGGGGGTGGTAAACACTAGGCACATTCATTGAGCCAGAAAGGCCACCAGTGCTGCACCTACCTCCCACTCTCATCTGCTTACAGAGCATCAGATTTTAACTGTCACTTCCCCAAAGTCAACACTAATTCCAACAGCTGTAAGACAATTTATTTGCATTTAGTATACATGCCACTCATACACCTTTTCTTGTATTACGGCTTATCTGCAGTTCTTGGGTTAAAAAACCAAAACTCACCAAGTTTCCTGCATCTACACCTTAGTCCTGATGAATACTCCTACTTCAGAGTGTCAGTGATCCTACCCCTAACTAAGGGTCTGTACACAGGGGCCCAATCAGAAAGGGTCTTGGGTTCCTTTCTCATGGTTTTCTCTTGGCCCTGTGCTCTAGGTGTTAGCCTCAGGTTGGAGTGAGTCAGTCACCTCATGGGCATTAGATATGTAACAGCGTCATCTGTCTTTATCAGCTGTTTTCTATTGCTAAACATTTTTAAGGGACTCTTATGGTGTACAATTTTATGTTATTTATTTTTTGAGATTTTCCTCTATGGTCATTCATGTTATTGTATGTGCAATGTAACATAGCTTGCCTTCTGTACTGTTGTAATCAGGGACCATTTAGGGATCAATGGCCAAAGACACAATATATTAAAACCAATCTTTTCAAGACTGCTCAAGAAGAGATCACATACTACACATTCACAGTATGGACGACAAGCTTGCTACTCTAAATTATAAGCAAAACAGCCCACTGACAGTCTCAACCTTTAAAGACTTCACAGTGGAAATTTCAACTAAATTACTTCTTAAGATAGAAAGAAACAATTATAGCAAGGTTTCTTTATCAAAATTCTTACAACTCCTTCTTTGAAGGTCAAGGAAGCACTAAACCTGAGATCAGAAATTGTATAATTTCTTCCTTTATATTTGTCTCAATAATACCAGTCCTATTTTGGGGGAGCCCCCAAAGGGATGAACTGCCATTATGTATCTTTGATGTCCTATACAAAATGACAACTCTGTACTAGAAAAGCAAGCCACTGATAAAAGCTGTCTCCAGTTTTGTTGGAGTTGGCTTGAGAGATGTGCCCTTTGAGTAACTCCCAAACACAAGAAAGAGAATCACTTTTAAAAACACTGAAAAGGAAACTAATTTAACCTAATTATTACTTCAATGTCATCTAAAAGACAAGGTAACATTCTAAGTCCACAAACTGTAATAAAGAATTTAATTTTATCATTGTGAAGTATTCTGAAATCAAAGACGATGATACATGCATCAGGCACATCCCACAGAAGACATTTACAACGGTTTACATTTCCTTTTTATTTATTCCTAGAAACTGCCCGTATTGCAGATTTTTCATGGATGAAATATGGAATTGAGCAGATTCTTTTTCTACAAAATTATGGTATAAACTTGCTCAATGTTCTATCTTATTGCTAATAACCCTTACAGGCGCACAGTTTGTAAAGTAAACCCCTTAAGGACTGAATGTGTAGCATGCTGCAAGGTACAAGAAATAAGCTAAAACTGAGCTTTCACATAAACCTACATCAGGACTGACACAGTACTGAACGCTGGCAAACATCACGACACAGGGAGAAATTAACAGGTGACACAGCTCAGTCCTCAACGGGTTAAGTAGAAACCCTTATATATTATTGTTTCTAACCATCCATCCCAAGTTACAGTGCTTGAAAAATAAAAGTGACACAGAAAACCACACATTTGTTCAGTACTCACCAGAAACACAGCTGCTTTGGAAAACAATGTCCATTAACCTGGTTAATAATCAAATAGCATTTTCTTTCAAATAGGAATCCCCGCCAACAGATTTTCTGATTAAACAACTAGTTGGGGTAATAAAAATCACATTAGAATTTCTTTGTGGCTGGACAGATAGACCAGTTTCTCTCCAGACAAAAGCAGTGGTGGCATCCTGCCATACCTGGCATCCCAGCACCTGGACTAAGGCAGGAAAGTTCAAGAATGCCCTGAGGGGCATCGGTGAGATCCTTGTCTCATGAAAAAAAAATCAAACATAAAAGCCTTAGCAAGTATGCTTGAGGCCCGGGATTTGACCCCAATACCACACAAAACAGTAAAGTACAGAACTGTAAAAGATGGCAGCAAGAGTGACGAATGAGTCCGCCAGTCAGCTGAGCATGAGGAAGCTGCTATGGTTTAAGAACAGTCTGCAGCAAGTTCAAATTCCACTTGTGCTCCTCTCTACAATCATAAAAGGCATCCCCTATCCCACACTTTCAGTCTTTAGCCTACCTCCCAATCTCTTGACAAATTCAAGGAGCTAAAAGATATGCTGGGTCTCAGGTTCTGCACCTAGGCATGTTTGGAGAAGCTGTGCAGACTCGTTCTAAACAGAATGGAAACACAAACCAACACTGCAACTGAAGAAATCCCGTTCTAAGACGTCTTCATGAGAGCAAATACCCAGCATCTGTAACAGCATCTCTGGGAGGAAACATTCTGAGTAAATGGGGGGGAAGAGGCAAGAGTCCTATACATCGTGTATTAAAAATGATTTACAAATCCACAAAAATGACTTTTAATGAAAGCAGCTGACAAAAGAACTATCAATAACATGGTAAAACAGACATCAGTTCACTCTATTCTGTGGTAGGACTCTGGCATAAACCATAGGAAAGATGCCTTTATTGTTACATTCTTGGACTTTGTAAAAAAAAGAAAACCGGAAAATGACTTATAGTCTAGTTATTTCAATTCTTATCAAAATAAAACAAAAGAACCGGAATAAGATATAAACATTTAAAAAAGTCAAAGTTCATTTTAATAAAGCCATGAACTTGAACAGTTACTTGTAAGCTACAAACCTGGGTAAGGAATAGTTTGTTCTTCAAAAGCATCTCATCTGTTCTCAGTTAACTTAATGCTTTCTTAACTAAATCCCAAATCTAGAAGATGTGTGACCTGGGACAGCACAGCGATACTGAGACCGCTCAGGCTCTCAACAGCCTGAGGTGCTGCTTCCACCACAAACGAGGAGTGCTACTTGGAGGAAAGATGAGAAGAGTTACTACAAAGGTAGGTAAGGCCACAGTGAGCTCTGCCCTTGACCACTGAGGCAGAATGAAGGTATGAGGAAGGGAGGACACTGGCTGGAACAGATCTGGAGAGAAATGGTGAGCAGAGCACAGCCTGGGGGTGATGAAGAAGGCTGGCGGTAACAGAAAGCTGCAGCCACAGATTTAACCAGCACATTTTACAGATGGCCTTCCCCTTGAAAAACCAAGGAGGAGGCAGCTTAAAGATGTTCGAGGGCATTTACAGTAGCCGTCTTCAGGAAACAGTGGGTAACAAAGCAGGTGGAAAACAAGGCTCTGACAAAGGATTCTTAACAAGACTACATGAAAACTTTCAGAAGGCCAGGGAGTCAGAAAGACACCGAAAATGCTGGAGAAGTTACAGTTGCATCAGAAGGTACTTGTGGCTCCTGTTTTAAGGGACAGTAAAAGCTTACCACAATCTAGAGGTAGTTTTTACTCTACAAAGGAGAATGGCATCACTAGACTGTGTCCTTTAACACACACGTGTGGTTCCTGTACTAAATGTAGCCCAATGAGTCTGCTGCAATTCCCAAGAAACTGAACAAGGCATCACCAAAGTGCAGGAATGGAAGCAAAATAAAACTGGCAATATTAGCACACAAGGCTGACACACAAGCCTGAATGCAATCAAAGTTTAACAGAAAAGAAAAAAAAATTGGACAGAACATTTCTACTAGGGAAAAATAAACAAAGGGCAAAATGGGAAATGAAAATATGTTACATTTGTATTTTTATAAACTTACAACTATCTGTTTCTAAGGTACTGTCTTCTGGCTATTTTATTTAGTTCAGTTTATTTAGTTATCATCTAATAAAAGCCATCTTATGATCTTATGTTCAGAATTATGAAGTTCTGGCCTAGGCTAAAAAAAGGAAAATAAAGTACAATAGATCATCTTGCAGAGACTTTCCTCATTTTACCCTAAGGGCACCATCTTGGCAGCAAATAATTCTCATGATATTTTTTGTCATTTGCCAACAAGGTAGGAAACACCCTGTTAAATGTAAGCACTGGGAACATTCCAAGTTAAAGATAAAATGTTTAACTTACACATAATACAAGTTATGTACAAGATTTGGGAAAGGAAGGAAACCTGAACAAACCCTGGAACACAGATAAACTGATGAACAGGCAAAGAGGCGCAAACCCTTCAAATGGTGATGTTCTGTGCCATTAACTCGGAAATGACTAAATGGTCACACTGAACTCCACGTACATGTTAGAATTTCTTGGATTACCACTATAAATACATTTTTTTTTAAAAAAAGGAAAACAGAAATAACTACCAACAGTATCTGAGAATAGACTAAGTTAACATACATTGCATGTATTGCAGGCAAGGCAGAGGCATTTTTTTAAAGCTTTTGCACAGACTTCATATAATCTTAAAAAAAATATGCAGGCCTTTACAAAATTTGATTTGCTGAAATCAAAATAATTCCAACTTATGAAAAAGTCATAAGACTTCAGCTTAAAAAAGTTCCAGCCTTAGACCAAAAGAACCTGGAAGTGTTCGGTACTCAGATTGAACAAGCATGGTCAGGCTTGAACCTGAATGTACTTTAGAGCCAAAGCTCAAAAGGGTGGAGAGTGCAACCTACTGGTAATAAGGTGTACTACATACTGGGATATAAAAAAGGCATGGTGAAAATGTACCTTTTACTAAAGCTTATGCAAGTCCCTTGGTCCATAAAAACTACGTTAAGATTTGTGTCTTCTAGCTTAACCTGTACACCAGCCACATATCTATTTCTTGACCATTTAATCAAAACCAATCAAAAACCAACCAAAAAGGTGTGTGTGTGTGTGAGAGAAGAGAGCTGAAAACCGTGATTTCCAACAGTTTATACACTTTGATGTTTTCCGTTTTACTGTGGCTTCTGTGTTTCACATCAGCACTTGCAGGTAATGGGGTTTTGAATAGATCACCTGGTATGAAAAGTTTTCCCAAGAAACCACAAAAGATTGTTCATTTTATCCTTGCCTTTCTTTCTTTCCTTTTTTTGTTTTTTCAACTTTTTGCCACATTCAAGTCAGTTTAAGTCCTAGCAAAAAGACGGTAGTTAGGACACCACGGTTGCTGTGGACGATGTGACACTGGTAGAATTTGTGCTGGCGTTCGTGTAACTTCCCTCGCTGTTTGTGTTTGACTCGTTGGTGGGCACTTGGCTTGAGTTGGCTCTGAGGATCGCTCCTGCTGCACTGCAGTGTGGCCTCGGCCCTGGTTCTGGTGTGTAGGTAAAGGTAAGGCTGGTAGAATAAATGATTCCATCATTACGGACCAAAGTTACTGGAACCTGGACTGGCTGCCGGACCCATCTCCAACCTTCTCGGAATGCAGAAATGTCTGGGACCACACAGAGCATGCTCTCTCCACATCTGAGGAGGAAACACACACCACTTAGAAGCATTTTCAAAGCAAAGCAGTTCTGCATTGCCCAGACCCTCCCAATCCTAGGTGATAGAACAGGCTCTAGCAGTACCTGTACATTGTTTCGGCTTCTACATCCCCAAACCATACTCGTAAATTTGGAGTAAAATTCTGTCCTGTAAGTTCAAGCATTGCTACGTCCCCGCCGCCATTCAACTGCAAATCAGAGAAACCATAACATTGAGACAGCTTTTCACTTTCCACTAAACACAACTTGGGTTATACTTGCTTTCATTTTCATGAAGGTTAATTTAAGTTCAGATTTATAAAACATTTCTGTTAAATGACACAACTTTGAAACTATTTCAAGATAACATTCAATGTGATTTAAACTTTTTTCCATGTAAACATGCTGCTTCAATTTTTATTTCCTATCAATACTACAGAATCAATTTACAGAATAATCAGTATCACACCACAGTAAGTTTATAGCAGGTTATTTTAAGAACAGCAGTAAAGGCAAAAGTCACCTTGTGACTAAGTGGGCTCACCTGAAGACTTTCTACGACAGGCACAGGAGTGACTGGTGCAAGGACAGGGCCCATTCCCTCATAGAATGTATACTCTGCCTTATCTGTGCTAATGATTGTCCAGGAAGCTCCATCATTTATCATTTCTTTATTTGGTTCTTTCGGACATGGAGTGGCCTTAAGAAAAACAAATGTCCATACATTGGTTTTATATACATAACAGTATACAAAAATTTACCAAGTAACATTCACAGACTTCAGTTAACAAATGAGAGAATTTAGGGGAGAAAAATCTGGGAACATCCTAATACACTTAATCCCCAACATTCCTAAATTAATATGAAGCCCCACAGGCAGTAATTTTTGTTAGACCACAAACTCTTCAGTGAAAAATTAAGTAATGAATCTTAGAAATCATTCAAGGGTATCCTATTCCTATAGAATTCCTTTCTTCTCGTTCTTTCTTTTCTGTTTTTGCTTGTTTTTCAAGACAGGATTTCAATGTGTAGTTTGGCTGTCCTAGAGCTCTCTCTGTGGATGAGGCTGGCCTTGAACTCCAAGATCCACCTGCCTCTGCCTCTAACCCTAACGAGTACTGGGATTAAAGGCGTGTCTAATCACTAAGTGGTTCATTACTATATAATTTCACTAACAGATCAGTACCTGTGATGTGAAATGCAAGTGGACTCCCAAAGAAAGGGAATCATGGGAGATCCTTGAGCTTGCAGAACTATTAGTTAGGAGCTTTGGCACTTTTAGCAGGTGTAAACAAAGTCTGAACTAGCAGCCCCAAAACCTGGGCTGGGACCCAGTATAGCTATTAGTGTGGTATGGAGCCATCCCTCTGCATGAAACCACAGCTATCCTACTACAGCATCAATCCATGTCAGAAGTGCCCTCTTGAAAGTTTCTGAGTAAATGCAATTGAGTATTAGCACTTAATTCATGCCAGTTTTACTACTGGGGGGAGGGGCCCTACTGAAAAGTGGATGAAGATTTGAACCCTCTTGCTAAATGCTTTATATACACAGTGTGTGTTTCTATACATCATTTTGGAGGATTCACAATGCTCTACTATTAGATATTCTGAGGCTCTCTGAATGGCAGATTAGAAATCCTAAAACTTGTAAACAAACTTCTCTAAGAATACTCTAGTTTTGAGTTATTTTTGAGATAGGTCATGGGCATGCTTGAGAGTAGTGTGTTAAGGAGCAATGACCTAAGATAAACATAAGAACCCATCTTCTCGTAAGTGGATATAATTAACAGCCAATAAGAAGTATGTCTCCGTAAATGGCTAATCCAGCAGTTTTTCAGCAAATTTTACAGTCATTACTGATCTGCAATGCTGGGGACTGAACGCAGAGTTGGGCAGTATCCCCAGTCTTATTTGTATAGCTTGGATTTCAGTCATTGTATAACATACCTGAAATTGGATTATTCTTTCTTGAGAAAGGCACAAGTACATTCTTTCAGTATCTTTAAGGTAAAATGCACATTTGTGGAGTTGTGATACGGGGTCATCTGCATCCAGTAATGCTGTCTGCTTATCAACTTTTCTAATTATCTGTATTTCAACAATTTAAAAAAGTAAGTCATTTGCATGCAGCTTTTATTTTGTATACTGTCCATAAAAGATACTACATAATAATGTATCAGTCATTTATTTTATACCTACATATTAAAAAAAACATTTATAAGCAATAAGGTATCAATATAAACTTTATAAACATATAATGTAGAAATCACACCTTCAAAGAATACATTAAGAAATAGGGCAGCCCGTTATTTTTTGTCTAGACTAGAGCTTTTTAAACATTAATGTACACAAAAATTGTCTGGAGTCCTTGACTAAAAATGCCTAACCCACTATGACTCATTTGGGGCTCAATATTCCGCATTTCTAACAAATGAGTGTTGTGAATGTTGGTAATGGACAGAAGTATTTTCATTGTCACTTTCTGTTGATCTTTTTAATAATATACTAATTTAATGCCACAAGGAACATCTACAGTAAGCTATTGTTGAGTGTCCTATTCAAAGGAGACAGACATATTGTGGCAGGATCAAATATTTCATATTTCAAAACAAACACACTCATCAGAAAATGGACTCAGAGAAGAAGCAAAGTCCTTAAAGTCCGCATTTTAATAACTGAGAGAAGAGAGTGCGAGCCCAAAGCAGGCTGTCTGATCACACCTCTTTTATACTCTACAACTTTTATAATTTACATCAATGGCTCTCAACCTCCCAATGCTGTGACCCTTCAATACAGTTCTTTACATTGTGATGACCTGACCCCGCCAATCATCAAATTACTTTCATTGCTATTTCATAACTGTAATTTTGCTACCACTATAAATTATAATGTAAATACTGTGTTTTCTGATGGTCTTCTACTTGACAATTCCTGGGGGTCACACCACACAGGTTGAGAACCACCAGTCTAGATGGTCTATAGAACCCATGTGGGTACATGAAAGACTGTGTTCTAGCAAGCGTTACATGACACAACACTCAAAAGGTGGTCACTAAGTTCCATGGAGAGAAACTGCTGCTTGTTCCCAACAGCATACAAGCACATTTAGACACTCGTCTCAAAATCAACAGTAAGTCTCATCCATCTTCCTTCCCTCTTCCTAAGCCTTTTTCTCAGTTCTTGAGAAAGAACGATATTGTCCTCACAGGCCAGTCTTCTGAAGCCTCTAAAACAGTGGTTCTCAACCTTCCTAATGCTGAAGCCCTTTAATATAGTTCCTCATGTTATGGTGACCCCAACCATAAAATCATTTCATTGTTACTTCATAACTAATTTGCTAGTTATGAATTATAATGTAAATATCTGATATGCAACCCCCACAAGGCCACCACACAGATTAAGAACCACTGCCTTATAACCTTCTGCCTCGAAGTTTTCCATTTCCAAGGCCACCACCAGACCAAGAACCTCCAGAGAGGTGACCCTCATGCATTTCTTCGCCACAGTACTTCACAACCATTGAAGCACCTGACTTGGACATTTTTCCAAGAGCTACATCTGGTCTATCAGACTTTTTACAGTGACATTACATGTCACACCTCATCAATATTTCCATTTATGATATTTAATATTCATCTTAAACTCACTGTTCTACAAAGCAGAATTTTGGAATTTTTCAACTTAGGGGAAAAATAATATCTTTACAGTTTTACAACCTAATGAAGAAAAAAGGTACAAATCCTGTGCATTGTTCCTAAAGCAAGAAATAGCAACTCTACCTAATTTTAAACAAATGTATTAGTCAAGTAGCCTAATAAAAATTATGCTTGTATTTGTAGATTTCTGAAAACTTGATCCTATATTCAGCTACAGCAGACAACACAAAAAAAATATAGTATAACTGCAACATTAAAGAAAAAAATGACAGACACACAAAGTTAAAAAGGAGTGACATCAGCAATGCACTTTTAACAAACTAATTCTTCAGGAGCACTTATAAACCGAGGCAATGGCTAACATGGGATAATTAAGACACTATTATTTTCATGTTAAAAAGTACAAAAACTGAACTCCAGCCTTTCTGATTTGCTTCTACCTCATATTCATTGAGGTAAAGCCAAGTCTTACCAATCTTGGGAGTGCCATGCCAGTAACTGAGCACACAAGTTTGACAGTCTGTCCATAGTGGATGTAACCATCTCGGACTGTGAACTCCTCTCCTTCTGATTCATCATCATCCACTAGAGCAGGTGCAAAAATAGACAAAATTGCAATCTTTTAAAACTTAGTACATGCTTAAGAAAACAAACAAAATGACTATTCATACAGTTTATGCCCCCAAAGAGAATATTATTTTTACACTAAAAATATCAGATGCACATTTTTATACTCACAGAGATGAATATAAAATGCTCCCCACTGTTGTGAACTAGCATGGAAGTTTCCTCCTTCTACATGCAGGTATCTGGTACTAACTGTCTGGGATCTAAGCCGATTAAACAAAGCCACCTTTGTTCCTGAGGCAATGCACACTGCAAAGACAAGGAGATTCCTATATTATATGACTGGGACAGAGGTTCACAAAACAAAGGACTTCTGCTTGGCAAATCATGAATATTTTTACAATAATACAAACAATGAACAGATTCTGTTGGCAAATATTTTATTTAGCTTTCTAAAACAGAGGATAGCAAAAAGAAGACAAGGAAAACAAGGTTTTAATGATATAAAAAGTTTTAAATGGTTGGACTTCTTTTTAAAAAAAAACAAAAACAAAACCTAGTTTCAGTCTTTTCTTGTCTGTTTTGTTGATTTTTCAAGACAGGGTTTCTCCTGTAGCCCTCCCTGGCTGTCCTGGAACCCCCTCTGTGGACCAGGTTGGCCTCAAACCCTCAGATCCACCTGCCTCTGCCTCCTGAGTATTGGTATTTTAGCCACCATTGCCGGCTAGCTTCATTTCTTTTTTAATTAATTTTATTTTTTTAAACTTAGTTTAGGCTTTACAAAACACAGAAGTAAAAAAAAATGCAAAGAACTTTTTTGTACCCTTTATTCAGCTCTTAACACCTTACTCAAGAGAGTTACATAGTATACTTAATGTAGTGATGATTATTAGTTAAAAAATTATTTTTAAAACAACAAATGTCTAATGTTAGACACTTGATTAAATTGACTATAACAATATTCCCCCATTTAAATTATGTACACATAAATTCTTGGAATATTACTGAATGAAAAGGCCAACTATGAGACACTCTATACATTGAGGTCCTACTAAGCATCATACACATTCCTGTGTGAACGCAGAGTGCCTCCACGTGCTTTCATCCCACTCTGTAAAATATGTGTAGCGAGGTCTCTAGAAGGATGTTTACCAAAGCAAACAGTTACATTACGATTTTAAGAATTCTGCTATCTCCCAAATACCATAAAGTGTTGTATTGCATAAAAACAATACCAGTTGTATAATGTATAAAATGAGTAAAATTAAAAAAAATAAAGATGTACTTTAGATATGGAAAGCACATCTACTTAAGAAAATATTCTAAAAGTAAAATATGTTCTTTGCACTAAAAACTATCAATACAAACCCTTAAAAGTTAAAAATATAAAAAAGAAAGAGAACAACAACCTCTACCCGAACCAAAACCTCAACCCTCTGCAATCTGAACTGGAAAACTGCCTGAATACAAGATGTCACATGACCTGGAACACAAGAGCATATGGCTATCAATGAGGCCTTACCTTTCCAAAACAAAATATCAGATGCACATTTTTATACTCACAGAGATGAATATAAAATGCCCCCCACTGTTGTGAACTAGCATGGAAGTTTCCTCTTTCTACATGCAGGTATCTGGTACTAACTGTCTGAGATCTAAGCCGATTAGATCAATCTGACCATGACAAACAGGCCCTGAACCACCTTCAGAGGGGCTCCTCCTAGCATTCCTTTCTATCAGTTTTCATCTTGGGGCATCATCACCACCTTCTCTAAGGCGGTAGCAAATCGATTATGCCCTTCTCTTCCCTTGATATAGGATCACTCTGGCTATCATTAGCAGGACTCCTATTAAGTTGCTTTAGCAAAAACTTCCTTGCCCTTGCCCCCCCCTTTTTTTTTTCCTCTCTTAATAATTGTTCCATCCATTGAGCCTCTCATTTTCCTCCTTGGCTGAAAACTGGAACTTCCCGTTGTTATATTGAAAGTGAACATGACTCTATGCTAAAGTCTCTTCTCCTAAAACAGTATTAAGTGAAGTCTGTCTTTCCACTTATCACTAGTGTTGCTTCTTCTAAACAATACCAATTTATAAAACATACATTGAACTACACCAAAAGAATAAAATTAAAAAATCTGAATGCAGAAATCCCTAATGCCTAAGGTTGACTGCAAGGGAACATAGATTAAAGAATACCCATGTATATGTCAATGTTGTCTATTTATTGTACTATCCAGTAAATTTGAATTTTGACTCACCTGGTTAAAAATTCAATTATTTTAGACCATTCTAAATTTAACTCTGACAGGACATTAGATGACACTAGACGTATTTCTGCCTATGCTTGCTTTGTATGTTATTTTCTTATGATCATGGTACTATTAAAAAATAAATTCTACCTTTTGTAGCCACACGATAATATTTATATATGAAGCAAATAGGTCTGAGATAACATCAAACTAAAAATGAGAGGAAAGCAGACTGAAGCAAAAGAATAAATTATGATGAAATTCATGATGAAATAACACTGGCCAGAAATTAAGGTCATTATTGAAGTTAGAATTTCCATTTATTATGTAATTCTGTTTGCTTTAGTGTGTCTAGAATTTTCCACATTAAATAAATGATAGGAACAAAGACTGAAATGGGGTAAAATACATATAACATAAAAATCCACAAGTTTATATGCTTGATTTTAGTCAAAGGCTAAGAAATGATCTTTTCTTTAAAAAAAAAAAAAAAATAGCGTTTCTGTGAGTTCGAGGCCAGCCTGGTCTACAAGAGCTAGTTCCAGGACAGGAACCAAAAGCTACGGAGAAACCCTGTCTCGAAAATAAAAAAAAAAAAAAAAAAAAAAAAAAAATCACTGGCTATCAAATATTATTAATCTGAAAATTAGTAAGCAATCAATTGTTTATCAAATCTCTAACAGTTGTTATGTATAAGTTCTTCATTGAAAACCCCTTCATCTAAATATGTGGAAGCTATATAAAAGAATTAGAAAATCAGTACTTTGTGTCCTCAATGAAGTAACAGTCACTGAAACACTGGTTTACAGGTTTCTCAGGAGCATTAGGAGTAAATTAAACTGCTGAATTTACTACAGTCTTAATATAACAAAAAAAAAAAGGGAGGTAACCAGATCTCTAAGATTTCTAGGGCAGTAAGAATGACCAGCTAATTTTACAAGTCTTTCATTACCAAGCAATAGAAAAACAGGAGGAAGAGAAACAAGGGACAAGTCAAGTTCAGAGTATAGAAATTCTATAGGATTTAAAATGATCCAGCTTCTTTAATAAGTAACTTATATCAAAGGGGGCAGGGAGAGAAAAATAGAGAAACTATCACAGATTAAAATTTATGGGGCTTAATTTATGCAGTTTGTTTGAACAGGCTAACTAAAAATGGAACAAAACGTAACAACCAAACAATTATAGAAAAAGACATTGCAGAAATACTATAATTAATCTATTCATGAATATTAAATGACATTAAAGGACTGTCAACTCTGTGAGATATGCTTTAAAAAAAACAAAAGTTATGCAGTAAGAGTCATGATTACAGAAATGTTAGTTGAGAGGATAGGATGTTGGAGATTTACATCAAAATACTCCAGCAGTTAGAAAGAGAAGAGGTGCTGTTTGTGACTGACCACAAAACAAAATTAGTGAAATTACTGAGGTTGGAGAGATTGCTGCATCATGCTTTCTTTCTTTTCCATAATTTCAAAGTTTATGCAACATAATTAAGGAAAGTCAGCCAACCAATTTCAAATGTGTTGAAATGTAGACTACTCACAGACAGTACACAGCCTTGGAGTTTAACAATCTGCAATGAGACAGCAGTTCCTGCTGCAGAAGCCTTTAGACGCTTGGTTTAGTGTCTGTCTTACCTGGCTTCCCAGAGTTCGCTATAATGTTTTTTGAAATGGGTACTTCTGTCATTCTGGAAGGACAGATTCTTTTGGAATGGGAACTACCTTGGACACTGTAGGGCATTTAGCATCACATGTCAGGTGTTTAACATTTATCTTCCCTCCCAGTCACTGTGACAAAACAAGAAAATAACTTCCATTTTCCTGGAACAGTAAGAAACCACTCTAAGATAATTCTAATGAAGAACTAAGATTCTCAGAACACTAATTGAGAATGAATCACTTCATTAAGCCAGACACTACTTATTTTCCACTTAAATTTGAAACACAGAAAGGCCAAAAGAATAGTGGTAATCAATGAACTGGCTACTGACAAAACAACCTTTAAGTTCTCAAAAGTTTGCATCATTAATGTAATGTGAGAATAGGGAACAAGTAAAGAAATTCAAGCATACATACAGTCAGCATTTTTCAATGACTGCTTCTTTTTGGAAGGTTTGGAAATGACTTTTATCCGCTTGCTGAGGAACACACCAATGTCATCACTGTTGCCATAGAACATTTTTACAGACAACATGAAATGCTTTCTCTTGTCTGAATCAGATATGTACAATGTTTTAGCTGTGCAGTAGTTCTGTGAACAAAAAGAAAAATGGTGTTAATAGCAAAGCCTTGAGGTTATGCACCTTCAGCTCAGAATGGTATGGTCCATCTGACCCAGCATGAGTATCACGCTGATGGATCACACGATGAACTGCTAACATTGCTCTCTAAAGAGAAGTCTTTTAAGGAGTTTTCAAAACAAACAATGAGGAATGACAAATTCATGAAAGATGAGCCTCCTCAGAAGATAGAGGTCAGCAAGGACAGCCCAAACTTAGCTTAAGTGACAAGAACAGGAAGCTTAATCCAGAAAGCTGGGCTTAAGTCCAGTGTCTCATAGACTCTTCTGGAGCTGGACATGAATGTGAATCTGTGTTCAGCTATGGGAGCCGAATATGACAACCATTAACAAAGCTGCCCTCAGGGTGGTTAGAAAACTATTACATCTATTATTCCAGTTCCTCAACTTGAATATTTTTAGAAAATCCAGGTCCACATAGTACAGGGAAGCAAGCATTGCCTAAATCAACTCAAAAAAGTTGCACAGAAGATAATCCAAGTATCTAGGGGCCAAGCTCTGACGGCTATGGTCAAAGAAAGCAGTGCTTGAGGACTTGGTCTTCCCAAGTGTAACTGTGAGAGAAGATCCACAGAGATGGATGTGGCTGGCTCCGACAAGATTATCTGACCAAGAAAAGCAGAACACGCAACATAGGCAGACACTTCACCAGCAAAGGCATTAATTTGAATACCTCAGTTTTAGTTATATACAAAATGACTCCAACATTTACTCTACAAAGCCCTAAAAAACCTATGATCCATATTTACTCTCTTTAAAGTCTTTGTTTTATATAGCTTTACGTGTTTCACAGAATCAACACTCAATTTTACAGCAATTATTTGATTTTTATACTTAAAAACTGATGATTATCTGCAACAAAAATAACAAGGCTATCATAACTTGGTAGAATTGTGTAAAAAACTTTTGGTTGTAGTTATCAAACTAGCTCCTACAATGTTTCTCTTTATATGACTGAATGCTGTGGTAACAGTGCTCGGCTGAAAGGGAACATTAAATATCTTACCTATCTTCAAGAGTATACTAAGGAACTATTTTAAAAATAGATATACTTTATCATACCATTACCACAGGAACTAAGTTTAAAGATACAAGAGAAAACACTCAGTTGCAGAAAAGCAGCAATACTTTGAAATGCTACTGCTTCACTTGCATATAATGGTTCTAAAACTCACTCTATTCCCTTGATCACCAAGAACAGTGGAGGTCCAGGCCAAACAGGGTAAATGATGTCCAAAATTCATTTCAACTACTTCTGCTATGTGTTCCTTTTAAAATGAGTATGACTCGCCAGAAAGTAATGAATTCTAGGTTCTTATCCTTAAGATTGACTAATTATGTACAGTTAGAAGATAAAAATACTGCAGTAGTTTATGTCTCTAAAACAAAGTCACATAAGAAAATTTAAATGTGATCCTGAATATTCTAAATTTTGGAAGGTCTTGTTGTATAAAGGGCAAAATAAGACAACAGTAAGCAAAGCAAAACACAATAGCCCTTTGCAGTAGCTATCTTATGTACTAAAATATAGAATCTTCAGGTTCATACATAGGCCCACCGTATTTTTTTAAATACTAGCTAAATGTCAAATCTGAAACTGTTCTGCTTCAGAACACAGGATAAAGTCAATGTACCAAAACAGTAACAGAACAAAATGAGATTATGTATCTAAACAACAGGACGACATCCTAGTGGAAAAGCTATAAAGAAAAAATTCACTTAATTTTGACTGCAAACATAATTGGGTATAGTCTGCATCAAGCAAGAGAAGATACTGCCCAGCATCAATGAAGCAGGTGAACAGAGCTGGTGAGACAGCTCTGTGAGTAAAGGAACGAGAGAGAGACAGACTCCTTTGAGTAGTCCTTTACCTCCTCATATGCACATGTGTCCTTGCATCCTACCAATGTCCAGAACTGGGTAAAATGAGAATGAAGCTCAATCAACACAGTTACACATATGGTAGCTATATCCTTGGCTTTTTATTACTGATCTACTCATTAAAGAATTGAATATCTAGGTATAGAGTGTGTTGATATAATTCCAGGAGAATAAATCAATCCCTCTGTAAAATATTTTTTAAGCTTGACAGTCATAATTTAAAATGGCTTAACAGCTCTATTTTCTTTTACAATAAGCATTCACTATTATAATAAACGTGATACCAAACCTAATTTAAAACCCATGGTCAACATGACTTATTAATTAAAAACTATAAAATCGTAATGACATACAAATAGCCAGATTTGAAGGTCAGCTTTATGGCTTCTTAATAATGCTAATACTTAACTCCCGACCCTCAATATTGTGGGTCATCCTATCCTAGTGTCAAATATAAAACATAAACACTAAGCTAGCCAAAACAGAGTTATTAGTAAATAAGGAAATACCTTTTAATATGCTATTTAAGAAACTAGGAAGCAGGGTGGTGGTGGCGCACGCCTTTAATCCCAGCACTTGGAGGCAGAGGCAGGCAGATCTCTGTGAGTTCGAGGCCAGCCTGGTCTACAAGAGCTAGTTCCAGGATAGGAACCAAAAGCTATGGAGAAACCCTGTCTCTAAAATAAAAAAAAAAAAAAAATAAAAAAAATAAAAAAAAAAAAAAGGAAAAAGAAAAGAAAAAGAAAAAAAGGAAAGAAACTAGGTAATCTCTTGATATCATAACCATTTCCTAAATATTAATGTTAAAAAAACAGTGAACATTAGGAAGTGTAATAAATGAACAAACTATCTTCCTGAATTGCGACACTTTTGTTCAGACTCAGAGAACGCTCTCTACTGTCAGCAAAGCCAGTAGACAGAGCATTCTCTGAGTAACCTGTATCCTGCACTGGTGCACTGGTGTTGTGTTGGTTAGCAAAGGGTCACTATACCCAGGATCCATGCTCTATCTATCCTGTGTCAGCAGTCACTTTTCAGCGAGAGATGAAGATTGAGAGGATAGAGCAAACCAAAGCCGAGGGACCTATTTTCATTAATATCTGAGTAACACAGTCCTGCCAGACAGAAAATGAGGGACTTGTTTCCTGAACTATTAGCTTCTAATGAATTCTGACTTACAGCTAAGGCAGCCAAGAAGGTGGAAAAGTGTCCTGGTGCTGCCTTTAGATGCTAACACAAAAGCTCCACGAGTCACCAGACTATACCTGTCCTGCAGGTATACTTTTGATTCTGATAATATACATTTAAGCACCTGTTTTTTTTAAATACTTAAAAAATATAATAAACACTGATACAAAAACAACTAAAAATAAATACAGCAAAAATGAGTGCAATATGTATATTTTGAATTTACCTTCCCTTCCAAGTTCAGCTGCTGCATTTCTTGGTCACTATTTCCTATCCCAATAAATGCACAGGGTTGTGACTCTTGTTCCGAACAACCATCTCTTTCCATTTGTTCTTTTTTTTTCTTCCAACCACTGCCCATAAGATACACACAAGGAGGAGGGCAAAAAAATCTGTAAATAAAAGGGGGGTGGGCAGGGAAAAATTAAATTCAAGATCATACTTCATTTTTTAAAAAATATATGAATTCATATATTTCATATATGAGTTCAAAAATCATACTTCAATGAAGTTCATTCCTAACAAAGCATTTTGGTGAAGTCATCTATAAAACAAATCATTCTGCCAAAAGGACTGAAATCAAGACTTTCTTATCTGCTCTAATAAAATCTGAGAGTTATACCTTCAGTTAGATTACTCCTGCTTTGAACAGCTTACCTTTGAAAACTCACAGCTCAAGGCTTTGAGCTACACTATTGGAATTTGGCAAATGCAAGACACTAAGCACAATAATCACCACAGAATCTGTGATTACAAATTAAGTTCAAATCAAGAAAACAGCATCATTAATCTTAATGTTATTCTTAGTATATTACATTTAACTTTATTTGGCAATTCCCCTGGGAAATAGCATTAAAACAATAGTTCAAGCGAGGCAACTAAGGAAAAGATAAGTAGGTTACTTGATATGAGCTCTACAATGAGACCATGTTCTATGTATCTTCGCCCCTGAACACCTGCTATGCATGACTGAGAAACATCTTGAACCAAAAGAACAAATACACTGTCTTCTTTCAGCCCATGACTACTAACAGATTTGTTCCACTGTGTGCCAAAAGTACACGTTCCCAAGTTCTTTCCATATAAATGACTTATCTTAACCTAACAAACAAAAAGCAGAGTTCAAACTATGAATTCATCCTTATGTAGAGCATAATGTACTTATTCAATGATATATAATATACTTTTGCCTGTGGACATGTACATACCTTAAAACGTTTAGGTCCTGTCTCTTTAAGGGGCCTGAAAACTCAAATGACTATAGTAGCTAGGCAAATTGAATAAATGAATGAACCAGGCATATAATTAAAAGGCAGGAATATCTTTTATCCAAATAACTAGCTTTCTTGCCCTCTTCCTTAAAACAAAAGGTTCTCATGGTACTTCAAGTTCTCATAGGCAAAGATCTGTCAGATCTGTGAGTTCAAAGACAGTCTGGTCTATGTAGTGAGTTCCAGAACAGCACAGCCAAGGCTAAAACAAAACCAACAACCCCCAAAAACACACACAAAAAAAATCCCCAAAAACCACTGAACAAGATTCCACCCTGAAAATTTTTCAAGCATACAATACAAGAAAAATGAAGACTCTACACTACCTTATGAGCTTGCCCTGTTTATTTTTCTATGGCCACTAGAATTATCCAAAATAACAAAAGAATACATTCGTCAGAACTGAAACAGAGATTCCTTTGTAAGATCCAGATGAAATCATAGCTTTAATATTCCCCTAATTGTCACTCCTAAACACAAATTAACTAAAATTTTATTTCCATATAGTTTAGTAGTAATACAATAATCATTTAAAATATATATACAAAAGTGAAGATAAAGGAAATTAATGGGAGTATGGAGTAGATGCCCAAATAGTTAATGAAAGAAAAATTAAGGTGAATTTCTGTGTTTGAAACTGACTTTCAACAGCTGCTATAAAACATATGCTGCAGAACAATGTGGCTTTTCTTCTTTCTCCTTTTTCAGCATTTCAACTGACAAGCAATGCTGTTCTCTCCCACTTGGTGGCGATATGTACACACTTAAGATTTTATTCGTTTTAAAATTTAGTCATTCATTTAGTGAATGATTTAACAATTTTTTTTCTCCTCAAATCCTGAGAACATACATGGGGAAAAAAACTATAGTTTCAAAATGGGATTTTATTTAACTTGATATGACAATTAAGTTTGATAAGACAAAACCCAAACTTGTCACTGACATCACCTGAAAATCTATCTGGGAGCTCCTGACAGATTACTTCAGTTAACACAGTCCTTAGTGTAACTTTAGAATTAGAGTCTAAATGTCTAGTTAGTAGTTGTCCCCAGAGCATCTCTAGTATAGCTACTTGCTCACCAGGAGACAATGCTGAATATTAATATCATAAGGCAAATTAACACAGCCTTCAGAGAACACAATCTTTCTAGAAAGTTTCATCTTTTAAGAATCATACTGACCTTTAATGAAAAAGTAAAACAGATGACAACTCTCAATGGGTGTACTAAATATGAGGCACAAATGCTAATACAAAGAATAATTTAAATTCTTGAAATAAATGATATTTCCTGGCCAGATATTTTTAGCATTAGTCACTGAAATTATTTTTTATGACAGCAACATGGCCAAAGTGTCTGTGGTCATGTCCCCAGGTTACCTCATGCCTTAGCAACTCTTTTGAAGAACTGAACCTAGATCAGCAAGAAGATAAATCTTCCTTCCTCTTTCCAGAGAGTGGAGACCAGACCCACCACCTCCTTTAACCCACAAGGGAACCTCAGCACAACTAGCCCATCGCAGGAGGGTATTTGTACCTTACACGCACAACCCACATACATACACATGCTGGGCCTTAGTGCCTTATACACACAATGTAAGCCAATAGGGTTCTTCCTGTATTGTAAAGTAGAACATTTAGCTTGGAAACATTAATTCACAGGATTCAAAAGATGTTGGAGAGTAGTTACTATAACATCAAGTGTTTTTTTTCCCCATTCTTTTAATTTATATATGGGGGTGTCAAAAGCTAAGATTCTTTAAGTGTTTAACTGGGTTTATGGACTGACTAAGTCATGGTCAAATAAAAGGCGGTAAAAACAGGCTACTACAATAAAAGACAATCATAAAATGTTTACAATAACTTAATAAGCCACTGCAGTCCTGTGGTTCTGTAATTCTTACAGAGACTAACAAACCCTTTTATTACTTCACTAGGTCTCAGTCTTCTACCATAAAATTAAATGCCACAATAATTTTTTATAGATCCTCTTGCACTAGCACCTAAAACAAACAATTAAAAAGAAGAGTAAACGAAGAAACTAATTGGCAAGATGCTTTGTCAAAATAGCAGAGAATGAAAAGCAGAACCAGCACTCTCCATGTTTGGAGCCATGTCATTAGCGAGTTTACCTCACGCTTCAGTGAGGCCTAGTCTCGTTTCATCTCATCAGTGGGAAGGATGGGATGAGACTGACTGATGTTCAAGAGGATTACACTTTTCTCAGCATCTTCAATTCCTCAATCCTGACACTGCTAACTCAGATGCTAACTTAGTAAAATGTAAGTCAGCATCAACACTGAATCAAGTGATAACATACTCCTTTGGGATTTCTCTTAATGGGAAAATAAAAATGTGAGTTTGTGTTTTTTTAAAACTACAGAAGAAAAGGGGGAAAACCCCCTAGAATTAGACAAAGTTGTAAAATTCCAATTCTGGTACCAAAAAAACTAACCAATGGGAGCAAAGGTATGTTTAGAGTCCCTTATCTTCATTTCCCTTAAAATTATCCACTCTAATATTGGTAGAGCTCTTCTCTGGGTCAATGGAGCTGCTAAACAAGCTCTCCATTTCCCATCAAAATGCACAACTGGCCTTGCATAGCATTCTTCAGCAGTGAGAAGCACTCCTGTTTTCCTTAGAAAACTGGCCAGTGTGAACTAAAGTACCCAGAAAAGGGTCACACCCATGTCACCAGGCTGCTTGACTGATTAGAATGCAAAGACTGTGGAGAGTTGGGATGTCAGTGCACATTCAGGGCCAAATCTCTTGGGCTATCTTCAGTTTCCTCAACAGCCATTCACTGCCCACCAGTGGCTGCCCTAAGAATCCTATAATTATTATATAACACCTGCTAGAACATTATTATTAGATCACTAGATTTCACCAATCCAATAGCTAAGAATGTCATCAGACAGCAGTATAACCTTTCCTGTAGCCCACTAACCATTAAAAGTTTTTTTTGATTTATGACTTTTTGTTATATAGCTGTAAAACTGACAAATCATATTCACACCAGAAAACAGCATTTGAGGCAACCTTAATCTGTGTTCCTGAACCATAACCATTCATGCTTGGCTCTAGAATTAAGAACTGTTTTCTGTTAAACAGAACACATATACATAAAATTTCATTATTTAAAAACCTGAACCTGACAAGTTTGAGGTCAGTCTGGTCTACAGAGCTGGTTCCAGGAGAGCCAAGGCTATACAGAGAAACCCTACTTCAAATATACATGCATACCTACACACATACCCAAACCTGAATTTCCAGTGCCAACTTCATGAACAAAAGAGCATTTAGCTTGAGTTTGTTATTCATATCGACTTCTGTTTAGTTACAAATCAGTGACCTAGTTTCACATGTCACTTAAAACAAAATAGGGCTGGGGTTGTGGCTCTTTAGAGAGCCTGCTTACTATGATAAAGGCCTGGGATTCTACCCTACCACCCCACCATCCCAGTCTGCAGACACCTGGGACAGCTGAATAATAATTATAACAGGAGGATGTATGGATCCTAAATATTGTTTACACTAGTCATAATTATCAATTCAATAGCTTTATTTTCTTTTCAGCTCAGAGATCAAGGAAGAGACTTCCTGATTATCTCCTATCCTGTAAAGCACTACAGAGGGTCTTTGTGCCCTACACACACAAAGCAAGTCAATAGGGTTCTTCCTGTATTGTAAAGTAGCACATTTACCTTGGAAACATTAACAGAACACACGATTCAAAATATATTGGAGAGTAGTTACTATAAACATCAAGGGTTTTTTTGTTTTGTTTGCGGGGGATCAAAAGCTAAGATTCTTCAAGTGTTTAACAGGGGTTATGGACTGACTACGACATAGTAAATAACAAAAGGTAAAAACAGGCTGCTGCAGTAAAAAGCAGTCATTAAAATGCTTACAATAACTTGATAAGCCACAGCCGTCCATATTTAATTATACATTTATATTTTCCTACTTTGCTCATATGTCACTTCATTTGTCACACATTCTAAAATTTCTTCCACTCTTTCCAACCCAGTCTCCAAACTTTTTAATTCCTTCTGCTACAGTTAGGCATCCTCCCTAGCCAATCCCACAAAGTTTGGTACCAGCTCCCAAGCATGTTATCTTTACCCATAAATGCTTCACAGAAAATGCTGTCTGAAAGACAATGCTTTAGAATTCCTGGAATCAAGTAAAACAACAGAGATGAGGTTCTGCTACAACAATGACCTGGTCTAGGCCAGGTTCTGTTCACTGCCTTGCCCCGCCCTGTGATAACTGCAGCTGAGTGAGTTATGCTGAACGAGAATGTGACCAAGTGGTAGACCATGTGCACTTTATGCATGAAACCCTGAGTTTGATCTCTAACACCACGTTAAAAAACAAAACAAAACAAAACAAAACACACAAGAAAACAAAAAATGAACTAACAAGAAATCCTTAAGCCAAACACAATGAGATATATGAGTTTTCATAAAAAAAGACAACACAGAAATAACATTCACTAATTACCTTTACAGATAATTTCTATAGTGGTCACTTATGTTTGAGTATGAAAAAGATTTCTATTTCTTTTTTTTTTTTTATATGGACCTTGCAAGGTAGCCCAGGAATTCTTGGGCTCAAGTAACTGTCTTGACTTGGCCTCTAAAGCAAGTGGGCCTATAGATGCACACTGCTGCCATTTACAGTTTATGTGGTGGGTAAACTTACTTAACTATCAGGTATAGATAGGGTTAAGTTGGGAGCTCTTTACAATGGTTCCGAAGCTCAACTTAACCTGACCTCAAGATACATTTACAGTTATAATCTTTTAGCCTTTACTTATGTATTATTATCTGTGCAACTATATGCTTGCCTGCCTGCCTACCTAACTACCACAGCAGTGGAAACTGAACTCAGAGCCCTGTGTGTACCAGCACATCCTCTATCATTAAACTGTATTCCCAAACCTCTTAAAAAAAGATGTGTGTGCGTGCACGTGTATGTGTAAGCCACATATGTAAGGTAGCCATAGAGGCCAGAAAAGGATGCCAGTTCTCCTGGAACTGGAGTTAGAGCCAGTGCAGACAAAGGCACTGGAAACTGAACTTCGAGGTCCACTGGAAGATCAGCAAGTGTTCTTACCTGCTGAGCCATCACTCCAGCCCCAGCCCTAGACTTTTCTGAATCAGAGTCAAAGTTACTCACACAGGCACTTGCACTCACCTTGTAACCCAGAGAAGCTTTGAACTTGTCATCTTCCTGCCTCAGCAGGAGTACTTTGCTAACAAAATTACAAGATCACAGAATTGTGTCACAACTGCCTCTTTCTTTTTAAAATGGCACCAAGAGGAGGGGAGATTGCAGTTGTTTATCAAATTATACATTATCCCCAAAGGAAAACTGCTTTGCAAATGAGCTAGTGTGTCTCCTAAGTGGAACACAGTCCCAAAGAAAACACTTAATTTTCTAAAATTAGGGATGTACCCAGATAGTCTTCACTAAATTTTTCTGACTTGAACATGCCACAGTTCACCGTTTATCCCCTTTAAGAAGTCTTCTCTTCATTTTCTACAATGAAAATAAGCCCAGTAATAAATATAGCCTCAGATATAAATATAAACCATACGCAAATTGTACAGTAAGTACCTATTTGCTCAAAAAATCCCCAATAATCTTACCGTTTTTCATTTCCATACGACTTCTGCGCAACTTTTGCGTGAAGAATGAGTACTGTTTGATCCCCACGTTCTTTTAAATAATTTCGCATAGCTTCTCTGAAATCAAATATAAATATTATTATTGTTGGGATAGTATTTTTGACAAAATCTTTCATTATATCTGTGATGAGGAATGCTCATGAACATTTTTTTAAATAAGCAAACAAAACAGAAAGAAAAACATGAGCTACCTTAAAGAATGCTGTGCAAAGGACAATACATGCCCATATTCACTCTGCATATGGTTGTTAAAATTAAAATTTACAGCTAGATGTGGTGGCGCACACCTTTAGTCCCAGCACTTCGGAGGCAGATGCAGGCAAGTGGATCTTTTTGAGTTCGAGGCCAGCCTCAAACAAAGTGAATTCCAGGACAACCAAGGCTATTATTACACAGAAAAACTATGTGTTCTAGAAATACACCCCTGCCCAATGAAAATTTACACTGCTATAGCTTATCTTGTTCGTCTAGCTTTACACTTGAGTTACAACAAAACATCAACTCACCCAAATTGCTATTGCCTGATCCCAAGCTAACAGTCCCATGTAAGGATTTAGAAAGGCCTGTCACCTATACACAAACATATACAATTGCCCAGAGAATGTTGTTAAAAGTATCGGATTCATAGAAGCAAATTGAAATTGCTGGAAATTGTATAAAACTTTAAAAGAATTCAATATTACATCAAATTAAAACTGTAACATGCTTATTAAGCAAATGTTTTATAAAAACATCAATGTATATTAATTCACTTAATTATCCTACCAAGCTAAGTGCCACACAGAGAAAAACAAAACAAAACAAAAAAACCTCTAGGTTTAAGCAGAAGCTCAATTCTTGAATAGTTTTACACATTACAAAATTAAAAGTCGCTGGGCAGTGATGACACATACTTTAAACCTAGTACTCTGGGAGGCAAAGATATCTGAGTTCTAGGCCAGGCTGGCTGTGATGGTTTGAAGAAAAGTGGCCCCCAAAAGGAGTGGCACTATTAGGAGGTGTGGCCTTATCGAAAGAAGTGTCATTGTGGGGACGGACAGGTTTTTAGGTCTCCAACACCATGTCCACCTGCATGCCACCACGTTGCACCACTGGTGTGAGATTCCCCTCTGTATGCTGTAATTACCATTAATGAATAAACAAAACTGGCTTGGCCTGATAGGGTACAACAGAGCTAGGCAAGGAAAACTAAACTGAATGCTGGGAGGAAGGAGTTAGAGAGAACCTATGTAGCCCCACTGGAGACAGATGCTGGGAATTTTACCTGATAAGCCACAATCATGTGGCGATACATAGATTACTAGAAATGGGTTAAATTAAGATATAAGTGTTAGCCAATAAGAAGCTAGAGCTAATGGGCCAAGCAGTGTTTTAAATAATATAGTTTCTGTGTGATTATTTTGGGTCTGAGCTGCCAGGCAGCCGGGAACAAACAAGCGGCCCTGTTACAACACACCATGATGATAATGGACTAAACCTCCGAAAATGTAAGCCCCCCCCCCCCGCATTTTCCCTTATAAGAGTTGCAGTGAGAAACCCTAACTAAGACACTGGCCTACATAGCTAGTTCTAGGACAGACAGGGCTATAGAGAGAAACCCTGTCTCAAAAAACAAAACAAATAATCAAATATTCTTACTTAATTTTAATTATTCTACTTACATTGTAAATAAAGACAAACATTCCAAACAGATGAATATCCAAATGATAATACTAAGCTGTCAACTGTCAAAAGATATTAAATGTAGGGAATTATATATTTGTGTTACTTGCATACTAAATTGCCTGGATAAGCCACTGAGCCTCACCCAGCTTTTATTTTCATATCTGAAAAGAGGAGCTAATACACTTAGCTCTGGGTGGCTAAAGGGGTCAAATGAGATAACCTTAATGATGTATTCTTACTGAGAAAAAAATCTTTTAGATTGCAAGGCATGGCAAGTAATAGCACAGTGTAGGCAAAGAGAATGGATCTCTACCGCTGAAACATGGTGTCTACCTGGGTCAAGGAGTAGGGGAATCAAAGACCATGCACTGAAGTAAGCCCTTAAGTGACCAGGGACTGGACAAGCTGGCCATAGCAAGGGATTAGAGATGTCGCTATGGCAGGTGACTTGGACTGGGGGGGGGGGGCAAAAAATAAAACAAGGGGGCTAGAAATGTGGCTCAGTGATTAAAACGTTTGCAAGAGGGTTGGATTCCCAGAATTCATTTAAATGCCAGGTAAGTATGATGACCCACCTGTAATTCCAGCCTTGAAGGCAGAGCCAAGAGATCCTTGGAGTAAGATTAGTCATACTAGCAAGTTTGAGGTTTGATTAAAAGACCCTGGCCTAAAGGAATAAAGTGGAGTTAAGATTGAGGAAGATACCCTAGCATGCACTAAAATAAAAGGCAAAAACATAAACAAACAAAACAAGATAAAAACATAAAGTCAAGAGAAAGCCAACATCTTATCAAAATTTGTATAAACATTTCAGGCAGGAAACTTGAAAAGCAGCTATATTCTTGAAAAGTTTTGACTACAAGCCTATTTCTCAAACTATTAATTTGGAAATTCTATTAATTCTATTAATATTTACAGTCTCAGTTATATCACAATGACTATTTGCTAATATTTATGAGGTTGTGGTTTCCTATCTTCTCAGACAGACTATAAAAGCTTCAAGTAAAAGAACTTGAGAGGTACAGATTCTTTCTGCAAAGATATCATTGTTAAAAGCCTGACATGAGCTGGGCGATAGGGGCGCACACCTATAATCCCAGCATTAGGGAGGCAGAAGCAGGCGGATCTCTATGAGTTCGAGGCCAGCCTGGTCTACAAGAGCTAGTTCCAGGACAGCTAGGACTGTTACACAGAGAAAAAGACTGACACTGAGCAGTGAAGCTGCGCTAGTTTTTCTAAGCAAGTATTAATATAACCAACAACCTTGAGGATTATATATGACCAAGCACATTTTAGAAATGGGAAAAGGTTGAGTAGCTTTCCTGAATTGATACAGAAGAGTCAGGACTCAAAGCTGGGTAGTTTAGCTACCTCAGAGACAAAGCTGTACTACTTACAGGTAGTAAACTGGCTAAGAAATAGCTTTTGTTATGAAACAGAACAGGGTCTGAATCTTAACTCTGCCACTTAATGAATCTGATGTTTTTCTCCTCTGTGAAGCTGCTAGAAGAGGGGGAAACATACCTCAAAGTAAGTTAACCCCTTACTGACGAGCAATTCATATCATCAAGTTACAGATATCAGTACGATTTTTCTTTTTTTTTTTTAAATTTTTTTTTTAAGTTTTATTCATTATGTATACAGTGCTCTGTCTGCATGCATCCCTGCAGGCCAGAAGGGGGCACCAAATCTCATTACAGATGGTTGTGAGCCACCATGTGGTTGCTGGGAATTGAACTCAGGACCTTTGGAAGAGCAGGCAGAGCTCTTAACCACTGGGC